AAACTAAAACCGAAACAAAATCGAAAATAACTGAGATTAAACTGAGACTGACTTGATTTAACTGCAGTTACTTGACTAATATGCTCTCAAAATTAGCATGTAGCGTGAATAATTTGAATACAATGTCTGAACCCGCAATACAATTATGAGATACATATATATTTATATATACCTGCGCATGTTTCACCTGCAACAAAGCCAAAACGCATGCGCCACACTCTACAAAAATAAATAAGCAACAAAAAATGAACTGCTAAAATCGAGACCAAGCAAACATTTGGCAATGGAACAAACAAACACACAAGCATTCAAATCGCATGAATGATTCGTTTGAATGAATGAACTGAATAATGCGCATGATTGCGCATACGAATGCAATGCAGAAAGAGAACCCATAACCCACAGAGACCCCAATCCCCCTCCCAGCTTCTCGCTCTTGCTAGCATGCTACTTGAATGGCCCTGGCAACTGTGCGACGTGCCACAAAACCGAAACAGACACCCAACAAAATATTACGAGTACGATTTTGATTATAATGTAAAAGGTTTCCTCATTTTGCAGCAGATTATCATGTTAATTTGAATGTTTTGCATAATTTTTGTTTTTTGTTTTGTTTAATTCTCTCAGCGCCTTTGTCTTTGGGGTTCTGTTTTCGGCAGCTTTGTTTTTGTTATTTCTTTAACTTTTGCCTCGTTGACTTTTAGCGTTTCAATTAAATTATAAAAATAACAATTTGCTAATTTTTATATCGCATATTGTGTACCTGCCAACGTGATGATGATCTTGATAATCGCGTTCTTTGCGGTTGACATAAATGTGGGCGTGCTTTTAACTCAACTTGTCATGGCTTTAATAGCATATATATATATGCATATATACAACTGACTATGATATCATGACACATCAAGTTGGCCAAATTTGGGCAACCCAAAATTGTTGTCAAGAAATGCGACTTGACAAAATCCGGCATTACTAAGTGCCATTCGTCTAAACGTATCTCAAATATATTGTGTCAAAATTACTTTATTCAATGAATATAATTTTTGTTTTTTTCTTTCTTGTTATTCTTATTAAAAAAAAAAAAAAACAACAATTTCCTTAAACATAAACCATCAGTGGTTGCTGCGGCTTAAATGTGTCACAATTAAAGTTATATTATTTGTTTTACATTAATTTTTTTAAAAGATATTTTTTTTTTTATTAACAATATATTACTTTGTTTTAAGTTATCAATGATATTCGAAAGATTTTCGAGATATCTTTTAATTGCCAGCTTTATTATTTCTACTTTCGTAATATTATAGATGGCTTGTTTTATAAGTATGTAACTCATTTTTGTGTTTTACCTATATTCCAAGACCCAATCTAATCAGAAATGGTCTCATATATCATATGTGTCATGCAGGAAATTTTTTCAAATATGTATTGCTTGTAAACAAGTTTATTATAAGTTTTAATTATAATACTTAATGCCACATTTTTTTTTTTGATAATTGATATGTACGCTGTAATATAATGACAACACGCTGAAGACAATAATTCATTTTAACTTATTAATTGTTCTTTTCTTTATTCTTTTCTCTTTTTGTATATATAATGTGAATAAAATGTTAAGAAATTAACTTTGACTTCAATCTTAAATACGGTCAGAACAGATGCTGAAACGTGTATAACCCAGATCTGTCCATCAAAGACTGAAAACAAAACAACCTCTTGTTTCGCTGACATACCCTTTGGCTACCGATATATGTACTTACAATGTATTTATAAGTATGTAGCTGCTTAATCCACTATAACTTGCGGATAATTTGCCTGTCACGTTGGCCTCTGCTCGAATGAGTCAGACCACCACACAGACACACACACGCCACCGAAACAGTCGTGAGTGGAAGTTGAAGTTTTTTAAAGGATGCCACTGATTAAAATTTACGCACAAGGTCATTGGCGATCTCCGGGACATCAAAATTAATGCAGGGCATAAATATTGTGCAGCCAGCGTTGCCAGTTCGTTTCAGGCTTAATCAGCAACTGGCATCCATGAACTTGGCTGCCCAGGTTCATGGCAATAGAGCGAGAGAGAGAGAGGGAGAGGAGCTGAGTTGTAGCTTGCAGCTGCATTCGCCAACGCGTTGGCAAACGCTTAGAAAAGCGACGAAACGACACACGACACATTTCTGTCATCATCAATAATGCCGCCATAGAGACGTGGCCCGTGGTGCTTTTGGTGCGCTTGGCCAGCCTTTTTACCTTTTGCTGTTGCCGTTGCAGTTGCAAGCAAATTGGCACAATTTCTCCTTATGGCCGCAACGACGCGTGTTATGTTGCATTCGATGCCATGTGGCCGGCGCAGCATCAGCATCACCAACTGCTGCAACAGCTGACATTTTGCGGCTTCAACATTCAACGTGCAACATTCAACGTTCAACTCTCTTTTGCAGATTTCTTACAATATTTAACATAAATCGCAGACACCGCACAGCTGCTGCCGCCGCCTGCAGCCAACGTTCTGTCTGCGCTTTACTTTTACCTCTTTTTTTAATGGGGCATAGTCGTTTACTCATTGCGTTTGTAACGCATTAGAAACGAAAGTTGCCGCATTATTATTTCTCTGCCAATTTGCTTTTAAAAGCCTTCGTTTTTATGCTGGGTCGTCAATTTTTTCCTGAACATCATATTTCATTTCAGTTTATGTATTCAGATGATTTATTATTGGTCGGATAAGCTTGCTTTTAAATTTAGTTCTCTTTCTCTCAGTCAAGATCAAATTTTCGATTGTCCTACTCGTTTTTTAAAGGTAAGCAAACTTCGTTTTTTCCAAGAATGTTCAGAATTTGGATTTGTAAAGGAACTTGGATCGATAGACATTAGTATTGTCCTGGGAATTTTTGTGTATTTTATTTTTACGACCAGCTTTGACAAGCAGTGTTGCGAAACGATTTGGGATTTTTTTTCATGGGACTCGAGCCCGTATTTCTTTGTTCTCTTGCCATGTTGACTTTTTAGCATTATAAAGAAAATTATTTGGGGATATAGAACTGGTTCTTATTCGAAAAAAATCAAAAACGCGTATGATCAAGATATTGCCACACCTTTTCGAGCGTGCATATTCCTAAACTAAATATAACTTTAATTTCCTGACCGTTTCATTTCATAAATCTAAAAACCTTATTGTTGAAATGTTTCAAAAATGTATGCAAATGGATTGATTTCCTGGAATAATAATCAGTCATGCGCAAAAAAAAAATATATTTTGTATAGTTTTTACATTACTAAGAAAATCAGAACAGATTTAGCAAAGCTTGGAATTGCCAATTGAGTGACACAAAGCTGTTCTTCGGCTGAATCAGCGCTCTTGGAAATTTTGTTAGTATAGGGTATATGTCTGTCGGTGCTTAAATGTAACCATTTGCTGTTGCTTGCCGCAGAAATGGCATTGCATGATCTTTAATCAAACAGTTAACGGCGCCGCCGACGCAGATTGGGGCAATTGCAACCTTGATAGGCGTCGCCCGTCCCTTGCTTTCCACTCTCTCGCTCTATCTCCCTCTCTCTCTCTTTTGCCACTCTTTCTCTCTCCCTCTCCTTTTGCCGAGCCGTTTTGCAATGCATTTGCAGTGGGTTTTGGAATTGGAGCTCGTGCTGCGTTTCTAATGCAGCTGTGTCAAGGCGCTAACAAATTTATGTGGCCACAATGTGTGTGGTTGTGTGTGCGCGTGTGTGCTTCCCTCGCTCTCTTTGTTCCTCAGCCACACACATTCACTCACACACACACACACACACACACACAAACACACAGGCGAAGCTACCGTCTTGCGGCTTTAATTAACGGTCAACGGAAACTTATGCGCTTTTGTGTGCTACTTCTTCTTGTGCTGTTGCTGCCTCCTTCTTGCCGTCTGTGGCTGTTGCTGCTGCTTCTTCTTCGTTGTCTCTTCGTGTGGCCTCAACTGTTTTTCATGTTGTCTTAGGTTACCTAAAGACTCGGTTCCGCTTTCGCATATTGCGCATTTGCAGCTTTCAGCTTGCTTTTGATACTCTAGATAATTGAATGCGCAGGGTAGATTGAAATTTTGGTAAATTTTCGAATATGTGGAAATAAATACATTTAATTTGTCATGTTAAATTTATTATTCCTCCAAAGGACTTTTTAATTATACAAAATTATGAGTGGAATATACACATAAGTTTCTTTCTTTTTATTTGATTTTGTGAATCAAGTTTCTAATCTTTACAATGGTAATATTTAATTTTTACAATGTTTCTTTTTGTAACATATTTAGACAATTTAAATTCGAATCATAGGATACCTTTGCGCTTAGCATATTGTTGTTTAGTTAACAGATGCCGTTAGGGCAAAAGGCGCTTTTTAATTTGCGGTCGGCGCATATCGATATATACGAGTTCTCTGGCACTCTCTTCAGCTCTGCTGCATCTGTTGGAATCTGGCAGGCATATGTCAATGTGCTTAATGCCTGACTGAGCCAGCGCTGGAACCCTAAAAGAAAAACTTGCGCATATAGAACAACAACAACAACAACAAACGATCGCTGTCAACTTTTGTAAACTTCCGGTTAGAGCCGCTCGTTGGTTTAAGCCATTAATGGATTTTTATGTTTGCCCATTGCCCCAAAAAAAGAGCACACACAGCCAGCAACAACAATGAGAATGACAACTACAACAACAGCAACGGCTGGCAAAAAAAAGGGTTTCATGTGACGAGGCTTTTGTGATATTGTTTTTTTTTTAGGCTTGGGCGTAATTCTAGGAATTTGTTCTTTATGTTTACCATCGCTTAAGGCCGGTTGCTCTGTTGATGGAGCTTATGACTAGCGGGGCTTTCAATTAATCAATGTTTGCCTTTGAGTATTTGCGTTTCGATAAGTCGATAGGCGATGGGCGATAGACGATTTGCGCCGCATGGCGTATGGCAATACTGTCACGTTTAAGCTGGCAACTATCTGTTCGCCTGTCAATTAAATTTGACAATTTATTGTGTGTATGCAAAGTCGTTTATCATTTAACGTAATCATTGTCACATGTAAACGGGAAAACGAGCCAAACGTACACGACATATTCGCTACAAGATGTTGGGAAGATGAGCATAGGGGAGACCCAAATGAAAAGTGCCGAAACAAAAGAAATCCATTGGGCATAGCCTGGTCTCTCTCTGGTCTCTCAACATCATCTACATTTCCATCTACAACGTACAATCACTTTCGGCAATGCGGCAATGCGAGTGGGTTCAATGTATCCCCCCATCTATCCGAGAGCGTTCGTGCAGACGCCAAGTTGAAAATAATAATGATGGTGGTGTTGATGATGATGATGATGATGTGGATGAGCAAGAAAAATCAAAAAAGTTGATGAAGACAGACAGTAAACTATAAACTACAAACGTTTTTTAGCGACAATGTTGCTGAATTGTCCAGCAAACACAAACTACAACAATCCCATATGGCTTATGCTCAGATTTTAATTTTTGATTAAAGATTTTTGGCCTTTTGAAGAGTGTGGCAAACATTGTTTGGGTATAAACAACGGATCAATGTTAATATGTTAAATTTAACTGTAAATATGATTAGGCGTAAGTAAATTTATTTGGCAATGTACATACAAATATAACACTATCGGTATTTCCCTTTATCTAGCGAATTGATATCCGCAAAATTCAACCATATATTGTGCCATAGATTTTGGAATAGCCGGCTTTATAAATGATATTTATATTTAGTATTTTTATTTTGTATTTATCATTTTACATGTTATTTAGTATTTTTTATTAACAAGAATTATGTACATATACGTATCTCTTAATCTTTTTATTTATCTGTTATATTTTATGTAATTTTAAATATTTGCTTCTTCGTGTATCTATTATTTTTATTTTACAGCGAACTTTACAATCAACTTTATCTTCAGGCTAGGTAATGCGATAGTCGTAGATAGCAGTGAGTTTTTATTTAGTTCGCGCTGCGTGCGTGCATTTAAATGAAGCAAATTGGAAACAGCAATTAATCAAATTGTAATGCAGGAAATTAACAAAAGTGCGCGCGTAAAGGTAATTAAAAGAAAATTAACAGCTGAGCAAAAGCCAAAAAGGAAACCTGTGCGTGTATGTTGAAATTGTTGTTGTTGCTGTTGTTGTTATTGTTGTGTGTGGCGTATTGTTTGCAATTTTCGCTGCACACAATTATAATTATCATCACTGTTGTGTTGTATATTGTATACACGATTTCACGGCATTCCATTGTTTTGCATTTTGCAATGAAATGCAAAAATCATCAGCAACAATAACAAAGCGCTTACGTATTTATTTGAATGTGTATATACATAGGTATTTTTTTTTCTATTAGTGCCAGGGCCCTCAAATTCAAAGTGTGTTAGCAGAGGGGTATGAATAGATCTAAGAAATATAAATTACTCGACTCAGCAGATCTGGAAAAGTAAAACTACAAATGTAACCTATTTATTCAACTTGATAGCAAAGAAATTAAAAGGTTCTTTGGAGGAATTTTATTTATTGATATACGTACAACCGGAAGATATATTGAAAGAATTAAATTAATTTTTTTTATAGATACAAAAATTCAATCAAAAATTTGATATGGTAAAACTTTTATTTAGATGACACGAAAATTTTCGAGGTGACACGAAGTGTTCGTGTCTAAAAATCGATTGACGTGCTCTACAGCCGTCTAAGATACAAACAACGCGAATTTTTATGATTTAACACGAGTTAACACGAAATAAAAATAATATAATACGTCGATATTGATATCGTAGATATATATATATATATATATATATATATATATATATATATATATATATATATATATATATATATATATATATATATATATATATATATATAGATGTAGGTACACTCACAAGTCACGCACGACAAAAATGTTACCAACACGACGTTCGTAATGTTAAATATATGTCTCTACAAATTGGAAGTACTTCTATGTATATTTAAAACATTTTGTTATAATGAAATAATATTTATTTGAAAATAATAAAATAAATATTTGTGGTCGTGCGTGACTCGCGTGTGTGCACCCTCCTCTATCTATCATATATTATTGTCTCTCATATGAATTGATTTTATTTGTGTTGCCCGCAAGCTCAAAATTGTTGGCAAAAAACATCGGAAATCACAATTTAAATAAGTAGCTTATGTCATCGTATCATTATTTTGTGTTGACTGAATAATGCGGCGAAATGTGTTTTATATCAAATTTAACTGAAACTTGCACATGTGACAAGGCAAATAACAATTTCATGATACAATGCAGCTGTTGCTAGCTGGCAAATTAGCCAATTTCTAAATTCTCTGGCACTGCTTTAATGATGTATATTTATTGTCTAGGCAACAGCTCCTGAGAAACCCCGAGCTGCTGTGAACTTGGCCCTCTTAATATATAACCCGATTTTTATCCTTGTTTTTCTTATATCGGCATTAACTATTTCCCCTGTGCTTCTGAGATCCAAGAGCAAAGTATTGTGAGTATTTTGAAAAGGTTCGGTGTGCAAGGGTATTCAATCTTCTGCGTGCCGTAGATAGCCCTTCCTTCTTATTTTTACGTTTAAATGCTTGACTTGTAAATAGAATTTTATACGAAAGGTTTTGATTTCAACCTGTTTCAGCCTGTGACATTGACGCAACTTTTGACTAGCTGCAAATTATCAAAATATGCTAATTGATCTTGGCCAGTTTATTGGACAATAATTGAGCTTGGATTTGTTTTAGAATCCCATTGAAGTTGTCTCTCTTTGATTATGCATGCACATAAATTAAGGCGAAACTGTAAATTATTTGCCAAATTAGATGAATGGCGACTGGTTGGCCTTTTGCGAGTCGGTTATCTAGATATCGACAAATTTCGTTTTTTTTTTAGATACCAATTTCTTTTCAAGGCCTTAAGCTTATGGTATTACCATTCACAGCTTCTGCTGCAGCCGATTTTTTGTATGGACTGATTTTTATGAACTATTTAACATAATTATTAGCCCATTTAGTTTTCTAGATTAGTAAGCTAACAGTTTTATGTGTTAGTCACATGGTGTAAAAGTTACTTGGGTATTGTTTATCTTGGCAAAGAAACTTATTGAATACCCTACCCGGCATATGACACCTTGTAAGCTTTCAAGAGTCGGTTGTTCAATAAGTCAGCTAATTACAAGCGACTAAGCAGCAAAAACGGCAAAGAAAAGTTTGGAGAAAGAAAAGTTGCTTTCACATTTTTGTAAAATTTGTTTGAAGGCAACCAAAAACCGTTGCCCTGCCAAATGCCGACCGGCAGCAGCTCGGCCCACCCTTTGTAAGGCACAGTTTAAAGTGAGAATTGTGCGTTGTTTATAGAATTTTAGCGCTGTTTTTGTTTATTATTATGAAGAACTACGCGTTAGCCATTCACATACGTAAACATTGCGGCGGTGTGGGGTGAGTTAAACAAAAATTTATTAATTAAACTCAAAAGCTTGAGAGTAGAAAATGCAAAAGATGTTTACAGAATGGCGCGTTGCGAGGCCAGCTGCAAAAATACGATCTATACTGTGTACACACAAAGACAGCCACATCCATAAATACATATTTACTTTACGCGAACAAAAAATGCAAAATGCGTAAAAAAAGAAATGATACGCTGCTCCATTTCAGGGCCATTGGGGGGCGTTTTGTGTGACATGCTCCAAATAAAAAAACGACACAAATCTGTCAAATTCTCAGACAATACACATTTAAAATTTTTCTATATGTCTAGAATATTCTTCACGAAAATGAGATATCTTTTTTATTGTGCATACATACATACAAATTTATATTTATAACAGATTTGCCAGAAGAAAAGAAAAATTTAAAAAAATAATAATACAAATAATATAAAAAAAGCTCACAACTTTCTCGGGTCTCAGGGTCATCGCCATCGTCGGCGTCATAAAATCAAAATAATATACAATATGAATTAATAAAATCGCATTTTAATTTTGTCACACATCAGCCATTAAAAGAAATCAGAAATCAGCAAACTTTTCAGTTTTTGTTTTAGTCTTCTTAAATGCTAACCCAGAGAAAAAACCAAACAAAAGTCCAAAAACAAAATTGACATTGAAAATGGTTCCGAAATAAATTAAGTGGAAACAAACACCAAAATGCTAATGCAAAGTCACATACAAAACTGAAATTGAAAAAAAAATTTGAGAAAAGTACACTTGGGCTCTAGTTAAGAGTGCTTGACTAGGAGATATCCCGTATTTGATGTATGTAGTATGTCATACTACAAATTTGTGGGTTATGAAAAGGATTTTAATATCTGGTTTCTATCTTTAAAATGCCGACAGATTTATTGTAAAAGTAAAACGAATTTAGTCAGAATGAGGTTTAGAAGAAATATATTCTATATTATAATATCTGAAAGTTATTTCAAAAGAGAAATTGCAAATAAATTGTCGAATTCTAGTGGGAGGGACTTTATTTATTAAATATCAGCTCGAAAACGTTTTAAAAAACAAATAACATGCAAATATACTTATCTTGTTCTAATAGCCATAAAGATCAAGAAGCCTTCGCCCGCTTGTGACAGAAAAGGGTTATATTCGATCTATTTCATTATTTCGATAACGATTATGTCCACTTTAAAATCTCATGCTTAAAGTATCTCACTGCTTATTGCAGAGAATGACAAGTATCCCGATTCTGTTAGGTTGAGGAGTTGCAAGACCTGTCCTTTTGAGCTATGCCTTATAAATATTGTCGCCTTAATGGGCTCAAGATTACTAATGTTATAGTTATAAGTGGTATGTATGAAGCACAGGTATGTAGAAGCACAGAGGCTTTAAGCCCCAACGATGAACACTGCATGTTAAACAAATATACACACATATATCAGTTGCCAGTGCTATGGTAAATGCCATAATACCCTTTAAGTTAACAATAAGTGGGCATTCAAAAACCAAACGAAAGCACACGTTTACATATATTAGCCATCAAGCCATCAAACCATCAAAATTAGCATAATTTTCCATGAAACAAAACTGTTAAACTGCTCAAAGACACCTTTTAGATGGCAACAACAATAACGACAGCAGCAACAACAAGAAAAAGTTGTTTAAGTTAAAGTTTAATGACTTTTTGCAGCTTGTTGAAATGCGCCATTGATGACCAGCAACAACAAACACTAAAAAAAAAAAAACAAAATTGATGGAGCGTTTGTCAGTTTCGTTTTCAGGCGCAATCAATTTAAATGCTACAATATTTCATAATTTTATAATTTATGTGACTCGGGCCTAAATTAATAATAAATATATAATAATATATATATAATATATATATATATATATATATTGCCAAAAATTTATTTAAATTGCTTTACTCAACGGCAATGGAAGCACTTCTCTGCGTTTGGCATTTTCTTATACTTATTACCAAGGGGCAAAGTTATGAAAGTTTCGACGATGATTTGTGAGCGTTTACAGATTAGACAGCTACAATAATGTAATAATAATAAATAATAAGGGCATTTATCACTGATAAATATCGAATTTATATAATCTATGCTATTTACAGCAAATGGAATTGGAAACTTTTTAATCGAAATGCTACGTAACTAAATCTATCGCTAATCGACCTGTCGATAGTTGCCGATAGTAATCCAAATGCTTGAAATAAGTGTTAACTTTGAAAACTTAACTGTGTTTTATTGTGTGTAAATAAAATGTACAAAATTAGAAGAATTTATAATTCATATGCAAAGACAGAAAATATAACTTCCTTATATTATTCTATAGTTACCACACTAAGAAGATGTGCAAGCATTAGTTTAAATTCGAACGTCTAACCATAAAATCAAGATAAAAATGATGAATATTTCTTTAATAATTCAACAGTTGCACTAGATTCAGCCAAAGAGATCTTAATCTGAAAGTTAATCTGAGCTTATGCTAGGCCCATTTCATAGACTTCACGTAACTATGTCATGGTTAGTTCAACTTAAATAACCGTAGAATTTTCACGAACATACATTTTTTTCACATTTAAGTGTGAACATTCTCTTAAAGACTTGCGCTCATTTTCAAGAAGAAAAAAAAATATAATTGTTATGCACTGAGAAAATCTTGAGAAATTGCTACTTGTAACTTGTGTGTCAATTAGTCACACCTACTAACTGGACAGTAATTAGCGAATTTTTGTGTCATTTGGGGCAAACAATTCTTTATTTTTTGTGTTTCATTCTGATAGGGTTGGGCTGTACAGTTATAAGAATCATAAAGATATATGCTATACATCTTTTTTTATACTAACCCTATGCTGTTTTTTATACCCTGAACCCATTAAAAATGGGTATAAGGGTAGGTATATTGTATTTGTGCAAAATCCAAATGTATGTAACAGGCAGAAGGAAGTATCTCCGACCCCATAAAGTATATATATTCTTGATCAGCATCAATAGCCGAGTCTGTCCGTCCGTCCGTCCGTCCGTATGTATGAACGCAAGAATCTCACAACCTTTAAGAGCTAGAGACTTGAAATTTTAGATGTATCTGCTCCTTGTGCCTGCGCAGTTTGTTTCCGATAATCGATAACTTACTCCGTTTCCAAGCAATCGATAAAACTCGATAACGATATCCTGTTTTTGGGCAATTTTGGTAAATAATAAGAGCTAGAGTCACCAAACTTGACATATAGCTTCTAAAATAGAATATATATATGCAATTGATGTTGGAAGAAGGGGGTTCAGGGTACCTCCTAGTCGGGAGCTCCCGACTAGAACCTCTTACTTGTTTTTCTTTTTTGGACACTTAAAGTTAATTTCTCACATTATTATTTTTATTTAATATTAAAATCAACTTGTTTCATTTTCTTTTTGTTAATGCTTGCCTAGAAGTTGTGGCTCTGGGTTCAGTTTTATTGTTTTTAAATTATTAAAGAATGTCGTTAGCGGTAAACGTTTTATGGGTCACACAAAGTTTTTATTGCCCCAGTCCTTATGTCCAACCCAGTCGGAGGTACGCGTTATAGGCAGCCTCGCACCCCCGAACGATTCATATACCCTTCGGAAAAGTAGTTTTTAATATGCACTTCTTAAAATGTAAGCTTTAAATTTATGAGCAGCTCAGCTTGAGCTGCTGTTTTTGTTAAATATGAAATCAATAGCTTCGGGTTTAATTTTTAATGACTTTTCAAATGATGCGCGAACGTTTAAAGAAGCTCCACAAGTCATCGAATCGGAAAATATATACGATTTCATAAAATTTATGAGCTGCTTGATGTGAGCTTTAATTAGTTATGTATAAAAAGCAGATTTGACAGGTTCAGGTTAAGCTGGGTAGTCTACAAATACAAATATTTAATATTGTGCATATAAATCATATTTAATTAATATTTGAAATATATTTTATAAAGACATTTTTTGTAGTTAGTTTTTATACTTTAATTACTTACATTAAACGTTTTCTCTATTTCTTGTACTTGCAGAACCCAACGAATACTGCAACAAACCTCCTTAATCCCCCGCCACTCAACTAGACAATTTTAAAAGGTAAACTATCAGATGCTTTTACAATAAAAAAATAAAAACAGAGAAAGAAAATCACGAACTGAAATACCCGCTTGTGGCAGTCATAAAGAAAAACTTGTACCAAGGGTCGTTAATCAAAAGGCATATCAGAAATAAAACGCACAGTTAAGCGTCTCACACATGGCGCATTGCATCATTAACGTAGTGCCCATGAGATTGGATAGGATAGGAGAGGTGTCTATGCAGATACCTGCCTGACAGATACACACACACACACACAATGTATCTACACACAAGTGAAACGGCGTCAAATTGCATTTAAATTGAATGAAATTAATTTGACATGCAAGTTGTGTTGAGTCGACTCTCTGACTTGTCTGTCTGTCTGCCCGATTGTTGTAGCTTTCAACAAAGCGTTATAGTTACACGTGTACAGATACAGATACAGATGCAGCTGCAGCTACAGCTACAGATACGCACTGATACAAGCTGCATCTGTAAGATGAAAGCAGTGCCTGCTCTTGTGCACATGTCGAGCAAAAATCAAAATGACAGCCACAGTCGGGAGAAGCCCAGCACCGGGACCAAGGCGCGCACAATTTCTAAATGCATCTGATAGATACAATAGTATCTGTGAGTGTGTGTACATGTGTGTATTTGTGGTGTTGGTTTGATTAAAAATAGACCCAGAAATGATCTATGCCTAGCTGCCGGGGCTGCTGCCTGCGACTAGCTCTACGTGCTTATATGAAATATGTTTCATCAATGCTCGGCAACAGTTTTCCCCTGTGCATTGGCAAACGCGTAGGCGTCGCTATTTGCCATCTCTGTCAGATTTTCTATTCCTTTCCTTTCCTTTTTTTGCATTTGATTTACTTCATTTATAACACTTTTCTGCAAGCTTTTTCTTGCTTCAGCAGCCGCAGCAGCAGCAGCTGCTGTTTTTGATTTTCCGTTAGTCTTCTACTCGTAATTCTTAATAAATAAAAAGGCGTTTGGCGCCCCCAGTTCTTTGGGTTTTGTTAGCCAACAATCGCATCTATTAGATATGTATCTCTGCAATGTCTAGCACAGAGTTTGCGCTGCAAATGAATGATTGCTTTTCATTATTAATTTTGTTATTGGCCATTTGTTTTTGTGTTGCCTCGTGCTTTCTAGTCGCCTTTGATCTGGTTTGTGGGACGGTCTATATATAATGTTGGATTTTGACATAACGTGGGGGGAACGCTATAATGCATTACTATACCAACTGACATATGCTGATTAAGTCAAAGGCTGCCAACAACATGATCTATTACCACATCTGCATTAACTCAATTTTATTTTGATCTCTGGGACAGTTCACCTTGGAATCATTAAATGCAGTTGTGGAATAATTTCGCGCCGTGATCTGAATATTTATTGACTGATTAGTTACCAATACATCTCATCCTTATGATATGAGACAGGGCATTGGAAAATTCTACCCATGTATGTGGAAAATTTGTGTAAAATTGTTGTTGCCGGTTTCAAACATATTATTAAGGACCTGTCTAAAAACCAATCGTTTTTTGATTCGAAAATCCACCCGCAAGTAGAAAAAATCAGTGAAATTTCGAATTTATGCTACATAAATGAGACTATCGCGAGCTTCAATTGCGGTTCCCCGAACGATTAACAAACATGCACATGAAAATTTTAAAATATTCGAACCCGATTTTTGTCAGATCTTATTAATTGTTTAAATAACAAAATTTAGATTTAATTCCGTAACTATGCGCTGTCTCAATCGTATTTAAACCCTATCTGTTGGCTACAGCTACAGCAAAAAGGTCAGGTTGCGTGTAACGAGCGCCTCTCTCGTCGCTTCTCAGCATATGCAAATGCCAGGCAGCAAAAACTATGAATTCAGCGAAGCATGCAAGTTGCCAGTGCATTCATGCTGCCGCCCGCCCTTAACTTCTCTCGCTCTCGCTTCATCTCTTGGGTCGGGTGGTTTGCTGTCCTTCTCCGACGTTTATTCACACGCATAACGCCCAAAATGGCAAACGAAGTCAACTTGCAACATTCGCATGACAACAGCGCCATCTAGCGGCATGTGAACAGACGTTGGGGGCTATTGTATTGTAAGTCTTATCTGTTGTACCTGAGTCGCTGTCATATATATGACGTTTGTATGTGTGTATATATGCGCATCTGTGCGTGTATAGTTATACCCTGCTCACAAGGTGTAAACGTGCATTTTGGTTTTGTGCTACCGCAGTCCACCCTCTAAACGCAGTTTATTTTGTCTCCATTGAATCTAGAGATTAAAAAGGTGTAACAGATAATATGTTAAGTTTCTGTTCGCGCCTGCTAAGGGGCTTTAATTTTATGAAAATTTTTATATTTCAACACTTTACGAACTGGAATCCAATGATTCGCTAGCTAGACTTTTAATGATCGAGCCATATTTCGATATTTTAGAGTTACAGTTTGAAAGTAACTTTTTTGGGGATCAGCTTTAGAGTCACCAATCGAACAATTTTTGATTATAATAAAAAAGACTCATCGCAACGTATTAACTCGTTTTCGTTCTTTATAAATTTTCATCTCTAATCATTTTTGCTGCTGTTGTGTTCGCGTAATCAGGGTATAACAATTACACGTTTTGAATTGCGGCCTGCTAGATACGAGTAAACCAGCCAGATGCCCAGAGAGATATGCCTGGCAGCCGTGTTCAGGCAGACAGTCAGGCAGTCAGCTCTATAGATCGGGTCTCTGGGGTCTCTCTTGCTTGCTAGCTTTGCCGCGCCCCGTCACGTCTTGCATGTTGGTTGTTCTCATTTGAGACCGTCTCGATCGGGCTAGCGGGGGTGCGGTATGCGAGATGCGAATATATATGTGAAAGAATTTTGAAATTATAGACAAATCCGTCAACAGCCGCTCTCTCAAGTCTGTGGCCTCTGTGTAGATTCTTAGCTAATTTTACAATTTTTGTGGTTGCGCTTTGCATTTGATTACTTGTTTATGCCATGCTTAATTAAACGCCATAAACTTGGCTTATTCGGATACAGCGCATTCTATAGGCCATAATATTTATGATTTCACATGCAATTTGAGCCAACAATAAACCGAATTTTCAATTTTTTAGAATGTTCAATCGCTAAATAATGAGCGCTCTTAAGGTGGGTGTGCCACCCGCCCGTCCACCGAAAAAAATTTACTATTAGTTTTAAGGCAAGCCAAAAAACTAAAAAAAAAAAAAAAAAAAAAACAATTTGAACAAAATAACGTGTAACATATACTTACAAGATAAATGAACAAATGGCATTTGCGACGTGTTTGTGGTAGGCAAATTGTTTACTATTAAACAAATTGCTACAAAATGCGCATATTTTCCGAAAGGAGCTGCCAGGGTTGTTGGCCTTATGCAATCTATCAAGCATATATCGAATGTTAAGCTGCAGTCAAGTAATGTAACGGTTAACACGTTTTCAGAGTTTCTTTTAATTATTTTTTTTTTATTAAAAATATATGTTCCAGTAGATAAAGAGTTGGTATTATTATTTAAATAAAAAAATTTCAGATATATGAAAAAAGGTCATTTAATGATGGCATGTATTTATTACAGTCCGACTATTTAATTCTATGGATTGCTTTAAAAAAAAAAAGAGCATTTTGTTGTAGTCAATATAATATCCTTAAAACTATTGCTTCTTTATTTTATATTAAATTTGTACTTATTTTTGGTGGTTCAATGAAAATGTTAATAATATTGGAAAACCAATACAAATTTGAATTTGCTTTCGCAACTGTTGAGACATTAGTATGTCTAGTGTTTTCTATGGTAAATGGGGTTGTATTTTATTCATGACAAATCTTGAGCATTGCTAAATTTGGTTCTGTTCCTTGATTGATATGGGCTGCCATTTCAGATATTATAGAGGAAATCCGCCCCTGTTTGCTTAGCCATGTAAAACGATTGATATTAAATCAATTGCTTATCGAGACATTCGCAAACGCAACTCTTTCGAAAATATCGCCCCACAAAGAGCCAAACGAACAAAAATTGTTCCACTTCACTTGTGAAATACAGAACAACAACAACAATAATGAGTAGGCAGCACAAACAACAAATTAACACAAAAGCAACAATAACAGCAACAACAAAGTAGGGGAAATAATTTTGCGCGATCATTGTGCTGAATTCTATTTGTGGGTGAATATATCTATATATGTTTATGTGTATGTATGTGTGAGCTTTGGCTTAGATCAATACGGCAACAACAAGAGCAGGGTCGAGTAATTCAAATGAAATTGAAATTAAGTATTGATTGCAATTGGAACTGCGCAGGCATACGCTCACATAGAGCTGCCATGCAAATTGAGCAACGACTATAAATTATGGGCGATATGGCAACGCCATGCGCGATGCGCACCAGCGAAGCTGCCCATTAAAGTGGCCAACAAATCGACGGCAAATGAATGGCAAAAGTAACTGGAAATCGCGGCAAATTAACTAAATCAGCAGTTGCAAATGGCTAGAGGAAAAGCGCAAGAGCGAATGAGAGCAAGAGCGAGATCGCAAGCGCACAGTTTGACAATAACTGGGACAGAAATTGTGTGCGCGCGTTCGTCATGCTTTATTTTTGTATGCAAATTGTTTTTGCTACAGCTTTTGTTTTGCTTTTAGTCCGCCCCGCTGCCTGCTGCTTCGTCTCTATATTAACAAAACCTATTATTCCTCACCATCTTCGTCATCTTCTATGTTTGTATTCTCTTTTGTCTCTATCTCTGTCTTTGTGTGTGCTATCTCTATTGGCTGGCCTTCGCCCATGTGTCACGGTTTCGCAAGCATTGGCTTTGAAAAGCGTCCCATCAGAGCAGACATTCTCTTCCATTGTTGTGTTTGTTGTTGCTGCTATTTTTGGCATATACATTTAAGTAATGCATCTAATTTTAACATGGCTATTTGCAAGTAATGAGCAATTGTACAAAACAGATGTCATATTTCTTTGCTATAGCATTTATTTCTGTCTTTTTGGTATTTAGCAATATAGCGTTTAAAGATTTTGCAGCGCAAAATAATTGAAATTTGTGAGCCAAGCATCCAATCTTAGAATTAATTATTAATTACAAGCAGCAAAAGAATAGGTTTTTGATAAAATTATGAAGGCTTGGTCTTAGAGTTGGACCAGAAGAAATACCTGCTACAGTTTGACAGACACTGGTAATTAAAAGTCTGTAATATTTTTAACAATAAAATTCGAAACATTGCAACCACAACTTACTCATATGCCTGTGAAGTGCAAGTTCAAGTGCTCGATACAGCAACAACAGGAACCCTGATCTCTAAATGAGCATGACAATAAACAGAGACTGCGACTGCGACTTCGACTGCAACTGTGTTGGGGAGCTGCAGTAATCAAGTCCAAGATGCGGTCACATTGAAGTTATGCCGGCCGGCAGTTTGTTGATTGAAGAGCCAGACTTGCGAGCAGGGGTGCGGGGAGGCACCAGCCAGAACCAGAATCCAAATGCTTAGTCATCGAACTTGGCCTAATGCAAAACAGAGAAACAACTGGCAGCCAGCGGCTACTGTGGACGCCATAGTCACAGCGGATGACTCAGCCTTGGCAAAATGTGCTACCAGTTTGGCAGACAACAACAGCAACAACAACAACAACAGCAACAACAACAACAACAGCAACAACAACAACAACAACAACAACAACAACAACAGCAACAGCAACAACAACAACAAGAGCAATAGCAATAGCCGTAGCATCATCATTGGACCTGGTCGTCTTCGCATCTGCTGCTGCTGCTGCTGCTGTCCTACTCCACTTCTTGTGCTGGCCAAGCACTGAGATTTGTTGTACGCTTGTCTTCATATTTATGCGCCGTCATGCTTTGGCGCAACGCCCTCAACTGGCAATGCCCTCGAGATACACATGTATCTTATGGATACCTACACACATTCCTTCGCCCCTACACACACACACATACACACATACACACACACACTTTTCGCGTTGTGTACGCTCTCAATTAGTTATTCATATAACGTGCTAAAAAAGTATATGAAAAAACGAAGTTAAGAATCTACCCCGACAAATGCTGCCGTTGATTAAGGCCCGCATCCAGAGGCTACTTACCCCGTCTGCCCACAAGAGGGAGCGCTGCTGGTGAAAGGGGGGTGCATGCTCATCCTTAAGCTACACACATTGTTTACTGTCTGCTGCTTTGACAAAACTTTGCATGTCATGTTGTCATTATGAAACCCTAACCAGAGCCTCCTCGCTTTTATTCATCTGGCTGGTTGCAGCTCCAGCTTGGGCCCTGACATTGTTTGTCTACTACTTTGGCCGCCGCCGCCCCTACTCCTCTGCCGACCCCTCCATGTGCCTAGGCATTATACGTAAGCACTTATCATCGTATTAGGCTTCACGCCTTTTGTCTCAGCCCGCTGTTTGCTCAGCTCATCTGTCAGCTATGGCTAAATACACCTTCCATTCGCTTTGTTGGCCATATTATGCTTGTCAAATGAGTTCCTCGAGTTTCCTCGACCTGAAGCTCTTAGCACTGTTTGCCAAATCGCAACTAAGCGTTCCATGGGTACACCGATTGCATTGGGAATATGAATTTGTAAATGCTTCTGCCATGCCATTCATTACGCTAAATTCTTGTAATTTTAAGTAATTACAACAGCTCGAACATTTGTCTGAATAGCTAAAAACGCACTTGACCCAAACTTTGATTATTCAGTTATATTGACTTATGGTTAAATTGGCTTCAATATGACAACTAATGTTTTATTCTTAATATCCATTCATTTCCTATTATATTTGAAAATCTTTTCTATCTTAGAAACCAAGATATATTATTTTATGTTTTTCATTAGTTCTACATTGCGGTCTATGCCTTTCTCTGTGGGTTTGTCTCTCTCTTCCTCTCTCTTACTATCTCTATTTATTCCGAATTACATTTCTATATATTTTTCGTTCCCTTTCCTTTCCTTTCGCTGCCTGTTATTTTCTTCCCTTTTTCCTCTGTCTGTCATTCAACTTTTTTTCTCTTTATTCGTTTACCTTTCGCTATATTCCATTTTTATCAGTTGGATTTTTGAAAAAACACTTCCAGCCCTGTCAATGCTTATCAAACTGTCATGGTTGCCTGCCAATGCACTTCCATATCTGTCAAACAGTTAACACCAAATAGCTGTTAAACTGTAGCAGCGCTTGTCAAACCGCTGTCTGCAAATTAAAGATGGGTCAACATTAATAATTTCTTCACACAAACTGAAGCACATCTATGAATCTTTCAATCGGTTTGACCACAGTCGTAAAGTTGCGATGAGATAAACAAACTCTGCTTCTAGGCTCCGTGCATATATCTGTGTATCTTATGATGAATCAAGCTTCCATATTGAGGCATAAAACAACGTTCTCTATGCCAAAATTGAATATTAGTTGCGGGCTGAGGCGCTGTCGGACGAGGCAGACAGTGGGTCGTATGAGTGATGCCTTTTGCGTTTGTCTTGACTTCTTGCAAAAGAGTTAAATGCGAAAAAGAGAGGAGAGAATTCTCGAGGTCAGCCACTTTAGTTGCGCACGCCCGTTCGGCCCCCCATGCCGTGCATCTACCTGTTGTTGTTGTTGTTACTGTTGCTGTTGTTGTTCGTGTTCTTGTGGATGGTGCTATTCGCAGGCACTCTTGACCAACATAAACACGCATAGTTATACGTCCAAACACAGACAGCCACAGTGCGGGCATTAGAACTTCATGGATACGTTTGTAACTCTTTTTTGAGTACTTCATAGAATTTTTGATCTTTGTTAATAATATGTTATTATTCGCTTCTATATATATTCTGATTTAATAATAATAATAAATTTATATAAATCATATTAATTCGCTTAAAAGTAGTATCTTGACATGCTAAAAGAAATATTTCTTAATAAAATCTTTTTTATTGTCCAATTTGCTTCTTTTTTATGATATTAATAAGACCTTTAAAAGTAATAAACACTATATATTATTTAATGTGTGAGCTTTCGATTCTGATAAAAGATGCATCAACTTATCTAATTAAAATATATTTCAACCTGTATACTGAGAAACGATTCAAACAAATATACAACTGGTTTAATATGCATTTAAAACTGTCTGTTTTGAAGCTGGTTTCAAAAAATTATCAAGAGTGTCAAACGGTTAAAAGTAATGTTTAAGCCCAGTTAGAACTCAGTCTGAGGTTTATAATTTATACGCTAAAATGGCATCTCCAAGTAAGAATATGGTATATACTCTTCGCCTCTCTAAAAGCTGTTTTTTTTTTCATTCTTGTTCTGCGCTGCCTCTGCTGTCCGGTTTCGCAAACGTTGCATTTGCTGTTGCTGCTGCTGCTGCTGCTGATGTTGTTGTTGCTGTCATGTGTGGTTTTTACTTAATTTACTTTACTGTTATGTTTTGGCTTTCCGCTTGTTAGGCAAGCAGCAGCAGCAGCAGTGGCAGCAGCAACGGCGGCGGCAAAAACACCAGCAACAGCAGCCGCCACAGCAGCAGCAATTGATGTATGTATCTGTCAGATACTTTTGCTGATTCTGTGTGCAGCAAGGCTGCGACGTCGTCTACACTTGACATTTTCTGGGTGTGCTGAGGCGTGGGCCAAACAATTTCATAACAGATCCGTCATGCCAAACGAATATAGGAACAAGTACATAAATATATTAACTTAAATCTCGCAATAAATGCCAAAGGTTAATGCCAAACAAATTTGTACAAAACCACTTTACAAGATTTTTATTTTTGTTTTGTTATTTATGTTTTTGTGGTAGTTTTTATTTATTTTTTTTCATTATTATTACACATATTTCTGTTTTGGTCAAGCGTTACTTTGGCTGTCGACCTCTTTTTTTTTTTCAAGTATTGTGTAATCGATTTGTATATCATTTTATTTCGGTTTTTCATTACGTATACGACACATGTGTTTTTAGGTTCCGCTCTTGTCTCAGTCTCTGTTTGTTTGCTTTTGCAATTATCAACGCCATAAAAATTAATACTTACCAGCTTCAAAATCAATAACGAATTTCGTGTTGCGTGTCGATATTTTATAACATTGATTTTTATTGGTGCATCATTTTCTACACCTTCTACTTAAATTAGAAATGACGATGGGCTGAGTTCGACAAAGAGGTTTCTTTGTTGAGACTTTCGGCATTAGAAGCATGGCACAGATTGAAATTTATCGGATTTTATTTCTTATATATGGGTTATTGTGCCATAATCAGATGACCTTATATTATAGGCCTACAGACAAGCTCTGACCCAAATATGGGTAAGCCCTATGAAATGTTCAGTCGACTCTTTGGCAGCTGTTGCAATCAGTCAACAAGTCAATAAAGGGTCTGTGGATACCCGACAATTGCGACATAAAGTGTTTAGGTATCTGTGTCTTAAAGGTAGTAAACAAAGCCGGTTAAAAATTAAAAGGAATAAAATGATTATACATGTATATTTATATAGGGTAAATGCGTGGCTATGCAAATGTTTATCATTTACTACTCCAAAATTTTTAATTAAAAAGTATTTGTTTGTTAATTTGTAATCTTTTTTTTATAAAATTTTATTTTATTCGGTTTACAACAACCTTTTTTTAAATCAATCAATAATCCTATATCGATAACTTATCATAGTGCTGATCGATTAATCAACGAATGAGGGTTGGATAAACTTACAATCTAACTTACTCCTACGTATATACTTTTATATGTGAATTATCCCTCTCTACTTTTAGACTCTATTTTTCTAAAGACATTTACTTTTTGTTTCTTTACAGAAATTTAAAGATTGACAATAATAAAATTAGCACAAATTGGTGAGTAAAATTCCCTGAACTCCTCCTATATTCAAATCTAACAACTATCGCAGTTCTCTCAAGCTCTTGCATACATTTTTATGAATACTACAAAGTTACTCAATTATGTCACCCAAAAAAATATATATATAAAAAAGTAAAAACAACTTGTCGTTGCATAACCATAAACAACAACAACTTAATTAACATTTGCGATGCAGCTTTTTTGTTTCTACTTACGAAAAAATCAGCGTGTCTCATATAAAAAGTAGTCAACGACTTCCGTTACCAAAGTGCAGCCAACACTCGCAGCACAAGGTGTCTAAGACTACCCATGAGTATGTTTGTGTCTGAAGAGCTGGGGACGATTTCCGTTTGATAAAGCAGCAAACTTTTTAATTGCAACAATCGCTGCGACAACAACAACAACAACAACAAAACGCAGTTATGAAAAAAAAAACAGCCTAAATAACTATGGTGCCATGGAAAATGGTAGAGACACTCCGTGCACTGTGCCTTAAAAACTTGACTAACAACGGGGCTAATTTAAAAAAAATTTCCCATTTTTAAATGCGTTGAAGTTTGTTTTTTTTTTTTTGTTTAGCTTGCATGCACAACAATTTGAGAGGTATCTTTGAATAGTGCAGCAAAAATAGTATACTGTGAAGAAATAAATAAACATGCATGTATTGGGCAAAGCAATTCATCATTTAATGACACAATTATAAACAAACAAAAAAAAAAAGAAGTTTTTACAACTTGTTGAATTTTTCTTCCAATAAAAAAACAAGTAAGAGGTTCTAGTCGGAAGCTCCCGACTAGGGGATACCCTGAACCCTCTTCTTCCAATATCAAATGCATATATATATATTCTATTTTAGAAGCTATATGTCAAGTTTGGTGACTCTAGCTCTTATTATTTACCAAAATTGCCCAAAAACAGGATATCGATATCTATTTTTATCGATTGCTTGGAAACGGAGTAAGTTATCGATTATCGGAAACAAACTCGATCTGCGCAGGCACTAGGAGCACATCTTAAATTTCAAGTCTCTAGCTCTTATAGGTTATGAGATCCTTGCCTTCATACATACGGACGGACGGACTTATACCCATTTTTTAATGGGTTCAGGGTATAATAACAAATTTTTGTTTAACTGAAAATGCTCCAAAGATTCAACTTTCAAAGAACAAATATAAAAGTTTGTTAATCTCCAAATAGGAGCTTTTTAAATTAGACAATTAATAACGTAATTATCAAACAGAAAGCTTTGCAATTTTATATTAGTAACATATTTAAAAAAATTATTTAAAAAATATAAACATGCCTAATTAGCAATTTTCAGTATTTGAACATTATTTTTAAAAATGTTGCATCAATAATAAAATATATTTGACTAATTTGTATAATAGTAAAATATTTAGGGTAATTATATTGAAAAGAGAAACTTATATATTTTGAATAAGCCATCTAGACGCACAGCTAAAATAATTACATAAAATTCGTAAGCCTTTAAATTTTACGGAATATTTGTCGAAAATCTAAAAAAATAACAAAACGGAACAGAAGCATAAAAATAAATATTTTTATAAAAGAACACAAATCAAAGCAATAGAAAAAGTAATATCCATCATGTCATGGATTTATAGATTTGATTTTTTTGTGAACCCTTTTAAAAATAGAATGTACGAGCATTTAATTTATATTCTATTATCATAATGTGCACACAATTGCCTAGAAGCATTGCCCACATGGCTCAGTTCTTGGCCTAATTGGAATTGACGATCGAGCGAATGGCCGTCAGCAATTAGCGTAACGCCTGGACGCGCCCATATTCAATGTGGGGACCGGACCGGACCGGACCCGGGCCTAACATAAAATCATGGCCCCAAACAATGAAAATTGTATGCTGCTGTTGCTGGTTGTTGCTGCTGGTGTTGTTTTGTTGTAGTTGTTGTTGGTTCTATGAACGCCAGCGAAGCGCATTAAAAACTAAAGTTTAGTTAGCGCATCTGTTGCACATGTGCGCCTGACTTTGAGCATACCGAATGCGCCAGATTGGGCGTGGCATCTAGCAAAAGGGGCAGCTAACGATTCCATGCGGCTGCTCACTTTAATGATTGTTGTTATTTTTGGTTTTCGGCCTGCAACATTTGTGGACTATTTGTAACCCGGAGGCGCATAAATATATTTTGCTGCCGCTTCACGTATCTCAGCCACATACAAACGGCGACATTAACCTCAAAACCTTAACATATAAGCCAAGAGGAAGAAAAAGAATAAGTAAGAAATGAAAAGAAAAAAAAAACAGCCTACGCATGCGCCGATTTGTTTTGCTTTTCTTGCCGGTCTTTGTTGCAATGCGAAAAACTTAAGAGGCAGACAAAGAGTTGAAAGAACAAGCCAATGCCGACGCTTGAATACTCTTTTGTACAAAAGAAACTTTGACGCTTGTCAGACATGATTTGTGTCAAATTTATCCAAAGCTTTTTAAATTGATGAGCTATTGTTGGGCTGTCGTCGGTATTGCATTTACTCGAAACAGCTGTCGAAGGTGGTCAATAAAATTTCTAAAGCTTTTCATGGCAGTGAATTATTAGAATTTAAAGAGTCTCTGAGTTTGTAATAATGCCAGCACTCATGCAAATACTTTGTGATGAAAAAGATCATTTATAACAAGCTGATATATTTGGGATTTTATTTTCATATTATTCAAAAATAAACTGAAAAATGAAAATAGACTTAAAGAAATGTAGATTAATATAAATAAGTAAGGATGGTTTTCCGATAGAAATATTTTTTAAAATTTAGTTCGAAATAGAAGAATTGATTTAATTAATACATTTTTATTAATGCACAAAGTAATTTCATTCAAATTTAAGTGACCTTTGATCTTTAAACAAAAAATGCTTTTTTCTACGTAAAGTTAATATTGTAATATTTGTTTAATTGCTTCCTTTTTTTAAATTTATTTGTTCTGTTATTTGTTCTTGATGTCTCATTATACTTTAATTAAAAAAAAAGTATTGTAGTTTTTAATTGATTGAACTTTGTTTTTATTATTTTTTTTTCTCCAAATTTGTCAAAATTGTGTTTTTAATTATTATTAACAAATTTATTATTATTCGAATTAACAAAACTTAGCATCCTTTTGATTTCAAGCCGTATTAAAATATCAAATTATTTACAGTTAATTTAATTACTATCTTTTAGGCGTTCATTATTAACCTGGGAACCTCTTAAGACCCACGAGAATGATTCTCGTAAAGAGTATCAAACTCGAGCAGGCCTAAAATGCCGTCACACTCCTCAAGTGTTCTTAACATATTTTCATTATGCGGGGCGGGGCGGGGCGCTGTGCTGTCCGTAACCGTTGGGCGTGTTGCTTGTGGCTTACCTTTTGTGGGTGTGTACGAATTTAAATTTTTAACATGTAACTCATTTTTAATGCAAATAATATAATTTTTTTGTTTTGGTGTGTGTGTGTGTGTGCCCAGCTCGCGTGCAGGCAGCTTGTGGCTGCCACGGCGAGGAATTATAGCAGGCACGCGAAATGGGTCAGGCCCCTGGCGACTGTGCGACTGGGATTTGACTTTGAGACTAGAGTCGGAGTCTGTGTCCGACTCTGCGTCTGAGTCTGTGTTTGAGGCTGAAAAGTGAGCGTGGCAAGCGGCGTTTTGATTAAATAGCCAAGAACTTACTAACTGTTTTTGTTGTTGTTGTTATTAATGAAGAAATTTGACAGTTTTGCCATTGGTCTGGCAGAAACTTTTGGGGCGTTGCTGATGGATCTTGAGCTGTGTGCGCTAATGAATTCAGCGACTGGGTCGCGGTTACTTTTACTCCCAAAAAAAAAAACAACAACATTGCAAACAGATGCAAGCAATTTGCAGTTGCAACAGTTGGCGCAACATGCAAATATCTCACGGATACACGAGAGCTAGGAAATTGAAAACAAATTGCACGAGTTGTTTGATTTGCAGCTTAGAATGCAAATGTTGCAGTTTACAGATACGGCTTTTGTACATTTGCAGCTGATTTGGCAAATTTGCAACTGCATCTCTCTCTCTCTCTCTCTCTCTCGCCCTCTCTCTCTCTCTCTCTCTCTCTCTCTCTCTCTCTGTATCGCTGGTAATTGTCCAGATTGGCAATAGATACAGATAAATAGCTGCAGATACAAAGCCGCTAGATTGACATGCATGTCGCGCAAAACAGCTACAAATTGCAGCGCGCAAACGAAGAATGTGCCAGTGATAAGTCAATAACTATGATTAAACAACAACAACGACAACAGCAGCAACAACAACATCGCAATGCATTCAAACTGACAATCTAACAGATGCAATCAGCACTGATTTGTATCTTTGCTGTGGCGCTGCATCTGTATCTACCGCCGCCACAGTTAGCGAAAGTGCACAAAGACCTTATCGCTGTTGAATTGAAAATTGAAATGTTAATGAACTGAAAATTTTGCGTGTCGAATTGTCCAAGTTGTTGCTGTACCCGATTGTAGCTCCATGATAATTGCCAGATACAAAGTTACAGATACAATGATATTGAAAAAAATACTAACAAAAACGCCGAAATAGCAATATTGCTGATTGTTTGTTGCCTATGCGATTGGAAAGGCACAAGTTACAGCTACAACAACAGCTACAAAAACCAACTACAACAATAAATGCCCAAACTTCACTTTCCTTTTTCTTCTGTATTTCAATTAATGCAACCAAAATATGACTTGGCCAAAAAAATAGAAAATAAAACTTATGCTTGAAATGCTATCGGTATTTATAAATAAATTTAAATCATTTTATCACGAAATGCGCTGCAAGTATTTTTCATATCTAATACAAACACTTGTTGTTGTTGCTGTTGCGATTGTTTTTTTTTTTGCGCAGTGCAAAAAGGCACCAAAAATAGTTTTCATGACTAAAGTTTTATTTTTTCGCAATTGAATTTTGTATATACATATACAGATTTTTGTTGTTAATTCCATTGCGTTTTGCACGTTTGGCGAATG